GCACGATATTCACAATTCGAAACTAGAAGGTCAAGAGACTTACCCGGGGTCCTCTAGACTTACAATTTGCTAGCATTCCCCACGGCGAGCTTCGAGTTCCTAGAATCTCACTTACAACACAAAAATGGTTAAACCACACAAGAAATATTCACAAAACACAGTATTCACAATCAAACTAAAATTAACCCTAGAACCTTGGTCGCTAAACCGTTTGCAGTCCCCGGCAACGGCGCCAAAAATTGATCGGTTGATCAACTAAACATCAACCTTCGTAATAGCACGAATCATTGTAAAATAGGGCTATTGGTCGGGTAAGTCGAACCACAGGGACTGCGCTAGTCTTACGGCAACCTTAGTGTCTAGAATCTTTCTAGAATGATGAAGGGTTTATAAAGGTTTTGTTGTTTGTCACTTAAGCTAAGAATATTGAAATTGCATAAATTAGAAACTTGCAAGAATTAAAAAGAAATGAAATACAAGTAGAGAAAAACTAGGGAAATGAATCCGCTCCAACCCTATACAAATTCTAGATTGAGATTAAATTGGGAAAATCAACGTAAATGATGGTCATGACACATAACAACCCTTGGTTGCTATACTATCCTCAAGAGGTTCATTAAATCAAAAACAAGAATAATCCATCAAAGATTCACATGCTTGAACTACCTAAACTAGGGTGTAGTCTTCAACATGCTCCCTAAGCCAAAGATTATCAAGCCCTTAATTAAATGATGAGAGCACACAAAGTTAAGAATCAAGTATAAACCATCAAAGGGCATCCTAAGCAATGATTTATCAAAGTTCTCAAACTCCATGCCATTGAAACCATTCTATGATCTAACTTCCATTGTCACTATGGAAATGCAAGCAATATGATTAGGAAGAGAAACCATCTAAGACAAGATGAATAGCTCAAAATAATCATGTATAGACATTAGAATTCATTACAACACATATGATGCTCTAGATCATAAAATCACCAACAATAATACATTGAAATCCCAAAAGTAAAATCTACACTAGAACATGCTTACAAGGGAGGGGCTTCATCACCTCCTTAGAGAAGATTTAGTTACCCATAGGAGCAATGGAAGAAGGAAGAAGCTTGAAGACCTCCTCCATTTTCGTGCTCCCTTCTTCAAGCTTGAAGAACTCTCCTTCTTGCTCCCTTCTCTCTCCTCTAATCTTGTAGAATATGGGATAATGATATGTGTGGCCTTCCTTGCCTTATCTACCACCAAAAGGTCACCAACCAACATCTCCAACCACTTCATTAAAGAGGAAAGCAAAGTGAAGAAACCAAGGTGCAAGTGGGCTGAAATGAGCCATTTCCGAAGGGCATTCTGCCCAAAATTCGAGCACTCTAAGCAAGGCCTCGAGCACTCGAATTTAGTGTAAAAATGCCCATGCTTCACTTGCTCCGCCCAGACCTACTTTGGTTAAACAGCCATAACTTTGCACTCCGAACTCCGAATGATGAACCGTTTGAAGATTTAGAAAGCTAATTCAGAGCTCTAAATATTTCATGTTTTGGTGGAGATCCAATTCTCAAGGATGGTTGGTCGAAAATGAAGATCAAGGCAGAATTTCATTGCTGCCAGGCAGTTCTGCGCGCCTCTGGTAACAAGGCCATAACTCTCTGCTCTGAGCTCCGAATGACAAACCGTTTGAAGATTTAGAAAGCTAATTCAGAGCTCTAAATCTTTCATGTTATGAGGGAAGTCCAGTTCTCGAGTTTGGAAGGTCAAAATGGCAAGCAAAATTCAGGTTCTACTGCTGCCAGAATTCAGCTTTGGCACCTTTTGTTGCTCAAGATTCCACAAGGCCTTATTCTTGTTCCATTTTGGCCAATGAACCTGAAAATGCATAAAAACATAGAAATGAAGATAATCTACATAAATTAACATACAACGGACTTTACTAATGCAATTTAGGGCGCTTGAATATACAATATTCGGCGCTTATCAGCTTTCCCTGGTCGGCCGTCTAGGGGTCGTTCGGTAAGCCCATAGGATGTTCAGGAGTTCGTCTAGCCACTTCCTTTTATGGTCTTCCAGCTTGTTCTTGATATAAGAAAAAATTGTTCTATTCGTAATTTCTGCTTGTCTATTGGCCTGGGGATAACTTACTGCTGCCAATTTTTGGTTAATTCTATATTCTTCCAGCAATTCTCTGACTTACTTGCTGTCGAGATTAGTCCCATTATCCATAACGATTGACCTCGGGACACCAAAACGGTAAATAATATTACTCCAGATGAAGCGTCTCACATGAGTTTGTGTTACGCTCGGATATGGCTCTGCTTCTACCCATTTGGTAAAGTAATCTGTTGCCAGCAATACATACTTGTTCTGAGCTCTTGCAGTTAGCAGAGGACTAACCATATCCATCCCCCATTGTATGAAAGGCCATGGTGTGGCCATTACGTTCAAGTCCTCAGGTGGTTGGTGGATCAGTGGTCTGAATCTTTGGCACTTATCGCACCTTCTGGAGAATTCCTCCGCATCTCGTGACATGTTCGGCCAGAAGTACCCTTGCGTCATTGCTTTGTGCACTAAAGATCTTCCCCCTAAATGATTTCCACACACACCTTCATGAATAGCTTGCAGTATCTGCCGAGCCTCTATGAGGGTGACGCACTTTAAGTACGGCCCAGAAAAAGACCTCCTGTATGATTGGTTATGCATTATGGCGTACTATACAGCATTCCATTTGATTTTCCTAGCCTCATCTCTTTGCTCAGGCAGAGTACCATTCCAAATATAAGTTAAGATCGGATCAATCCAACTTGGCTCATATGGAATAACATTTACTTACTAAGGATCTGGGCCCGAAGGTTCTTCAAAAATGGATAGCTAGTTCAGTATTCCTACTGAAATAACCCTTGCCAATGTTTCTCCAGAACCTGAGGCACTACATGCTAACCGATCGGCATCTTCGTTATGCTCTCTCGGTATTTGGATGAATTCAATTTTTTAAAAGTTTTTGGCTTCTCATATAACAGCAGAATGATATGCTTCCATTGTTTCATCCGTAGTTTCATATTCGCCATTCACCTACCGAACAATTAACTGCGAGTCACTAAAGGCAGTCAAATTCTTGACCTTCAGCTCCTTGGCAAGCTTAAGTCCTTCCAGTAGTGCCTCATACTCCGCTTCGTTGTTGGTGCCTCTGAATTCAAGCCGGAGCGCTTGACTTAAAGACGTACCTTCTAGTGTCTGTAGTTTGATCCCAATGCCTGCCCCCATCTGATTTAAGGATCCATCGACAAAGAGTTTCCACAAGCAACCACGAAGGTCTTCCTCCATGTTTTCTGAATCACATTCTAGTAAAAAATCTGTCACTGCTTGCCCTTTGACTGCCGTTCTGGGTTCATATGTTATGTCAAATGAGCTTAACTGTATGGCCCACTTCGTCATCCTTCCTGAGAGGTCTGGCTTGTGCAGGATTATTCTGATAGGGAAAGTGGTTAGAACGATGATAGGATGGGATTCAAAATAATGCCTGAGCTTTCTTTTCGCATGTACTAGCTAGAGTATCACCCGCTCGGCCTTTGAGTAACGTCGTTCAGCCTCAGTCATCATTTTGCTAACATAGAACACTGGATATTGCTTCCCCTCTGTACAACGGATCAGAACGCAACTTGTTGCAATACTGGATACCCAGAGGTATAAAAATAGCTTCTCTCCTGGTTCCGGAGCTGACAGGACCGGAAGGTTCTGCATATATTCTTTTAGACCAGTTAATGCTAGGCGTTTTTTATCCCCCTAAACTTGTCTACCATGGCTTCGTATTGTGTCAAAAAATGGTTTACAGCGATCTGATAATTTGGAAATGAACTGGCTCAATGCAGCGATCTGTCCCGTAAGTGTTTGCACTTATTTGACTGTTGTTGGCTCGGCATTCTTAGTCAGAGCTTCTGCTTGGGCAGGGCTAGCTTCTATGCCTCTATGATTAACCACGTGTCCCAGGAATTGATAAGAACTCACGCCGAATGAGCACTTAGTTGGATTGAGCTTCATTCTATATTGCCTTAACACATTAAATACGTCTTGTAGATGTTTCAGATGGTCAACTTTCTTCTTACTTTTTACTACCATGTCATCAATGTAAGCTTCCACGGTCTTCCTTATTTGACCCTTGAAAATTTTGCTAATAAGCCTTTGGTAAGTTGCTCCGGCGTTTTTTAGTCCGAATGGCATAACTTTGTAGCAATAGGTCCCGCGCTCGGTAACAAAAGAAGTTTTCTCTTCATCAGCAGAGTCTATAGGGATCTGATTATAACCTGAATAAGCATCTAAAAAGGTTAAACGCTCATACCCAGTAGTAGGATCCACCATTTGATCAATTTTTGGCAGCGGAAAGCTATCCTTCGGATAGGCTTTGTTCAAATTGGTGAAATCAATACACACTCGCCATTTCCTATTCTTCTTCTGCACAACAACAACATTTGACAACCAGTCAGGATAATACACTTCTCTTATAAATCCTGCATCAAGCAGCTTGTCAACCTCCTCCGCTATGATCTGGCTGCGCTCTGGAGCAAACCTTCGCTGCTTCTGCTTTACAGGTCTTACATTGGGATTAACGTTCAAGGAGTGACAGGATATGGAAGGATCGATTCCAGGCATGTCTAAGTGGCTCCATGCAAATACATCGGCGTTCTGAGACAAGAAATCAACTAACTCCTGTTTCTCTTCCACTGCAAGTCGTTCCCCCACTCTGGTTGTTCGTTCTGGTCGGAACCGATCGATCTGTACATCAACTAGGGGTTCTTCGGTCAAATCCACTGGCTCCTCCTCCCCATTCTACTTGGGGGGAGGCTCTTGTAATTGCTATCTCGGGCTTGCCGAACGGATGGGTGCTTTCCCTTTTCCAGTATACTTCAGCGTTACTGAATAACATTCCTTAGCTGCAACCTGGTCCCCATGAATGTTAATCACCTTGGCTCTATCTAGCCCCAGGCATCTCATTACTTGATGCAGAGTGGAAGGAACGCCTTAAACTCTGTGGATCCACCCTCTGCCCATTAGAAGGTTGTAAGAGGGATGAATCTCGACAACTACAAAGGTCTCCATCAGAACCCTCTCTGCAGCATGTATTACTACCTCCACCGTACCGATGGACTCCATTCGTTTTCCATCAAATCCTAGCAAAGGATTCCCAGTGGGCTTGAGCCAATCTGGCTTAATCTCAAGCCGATCAAATGTGTCCCTCGGCATGACGTTCGCACTACTTCCAGGATCAATCAGAACTCTGTGTACCAAATATTCGGCCATTTTCAAACTGAAGACTAACCGATCCTCATGAGGAATCTGAACACGCAATAGATCTATTCTGTCAAACTTTATCTGTGTTGATGCACTCTGTTGGTGCAGAGTGTTTACACTGCCTATCCTTCTCTTCACCCGTGCCTGGCGAAGGCGTGTTTGAAGCAGTTCATCTGACTCCTCAGTAGGCTCAGGCCGACTGTAAATTGCATTGATTATTCGAACTGGTTGCGTATTGTGAGAGTTCGACTTTTGATTCCTCTTCACGTGTTCCATCGGTCGGTTCTGTTCCACCGCCGGGCCTTGAATATAACTTACGAACTCCCCTCTAGCTATCAGCATCTCTACCTGTCTCCTTAAGTTCCTACATTCATTAGTCTGATGGCCAAAGTCAGAATAAAATGCACAATGCTTAGACTGATCCCTCTGTTTGAGGGGTTGTTTGATTGGTAAAGGAGATCGAAACTTATCTTTATTTTCTTGGTACAACCTTGCTAAGGTGACTTTCAATGGAGTAACCAGCTCTTCCTCCCTGGGCCTCTTCTCAGATTTCCACGAGGTCTAACGCTGTGGCTGAACCTGCTTTTGTCTGATCTTTGTTTTAGTTTTCTCTTCTGTTGATATGACGGATGTCTTCCGAGCGTTGGCTGCCTCTTCTTCTTCCAAGTGCACAAATCCATCGTCTCTTTCATTAAGTTCATCCATAGTCTCAGCGTATTCACTATCAAGCTTGTGTGGAATGGAGTGCCACGAGTCATGGCCAATATGAACGCTTGAACCGCCGTAGAAGGATGACATTCAATCACCATACTCTTAGTAAGATTAAACCTGGTTAGGAAAGCTTGGAGACGTTCATCCTCATGCTGCTTTATTGTGAATAGGCTCAAAATGTCCTTTGCTGGACGTTTATTTCCATAATATTGGCTTATGAACCGATCACACAAGCTTCGGAAACTATCTACTGAGCCCCTCGGCAGGTTCTTGAACCAATTGAGGAAGCACTTGCACATCAAGGAATCATTCTCAGTGTTCAGAGCCATTTTCAACTGGATGTGATATACATGATCAATCGGATCGGTCGTTCCGTCGAATAGAATGAAAACGGGCATGGAAAATTTCCTCGGACTCGGAGCATTCAGAATTTCATCGGTGAACGGCGAATCAACTGTTCGAGCTGCTAAACGAAGGGCTTCATTTTCCCTCTGGAACCCCGCGATTACTCTCTAATCTACAGATCTCCTTTCTGAGCTGTGATAGTCTAGCATCGCCATAGAAGGCCGATAAGTTGGATCGAATGATCTTTCCTCAATAAACTCTTTGTGCCATGACGGTATAGCTTTGTGGCGATCAAACTCCATTGCTTCTCCTCGGCTGAACGTTTCTTGATGTGGATCGAAAGTCATGGCTTGGTTTTGCCTGATCTATTCAGGCCGTGGATCCACGTGAGTTGATCATTCACGATTATCAATACGATGAGGATTTGGCGGCAAATTGTTTGGCCGGACCTCCTCGCGGTGAAGATCTGTTTGATTGTTCCTTACATCAATACCGTGATGTGCCGCATCGGTACGTACAACTTCTTCTCCGGCCGGGAGCGGTCGCGGAATCACCGGAACTTCTTGATGCTGCATTTCAATCCTTAAATCTGTATTCTCTCTCCTGAGAGCTTCGATCATGCTCATCAACTTATCAAGTTTCATCTGCTGGACATTCTCTACCGTATTGGAGTTCTCACCCCCAGTCATCATTCCAGAATGGAGCAAATGCATGAATCACAAATTCTAAGTTAGATCTGAGTCTCGCTGACGCGAATCACGCCAGATCTGGACTCAAATTTCACGAGTTATGTTCTCCTTTCGATAGATCAGAGCTTTTCAGGCGTCTGAGCTTGTTGGATTGAGCCGCGATAGAGTGAATCACAGCTGCGTAAACCTAACACCAATTTCTCAGAATCAATCAAGAATCAAGAACTTCTCAAGAGCAAACCGCAATCTCTTAGATCTGGATTAAACTTCTAGAAATCAAGCTTCATTGTCACCAATCAGTCTGAATCAACATGATGTTGATCAAATAAGAATCAACCTCTAACGCTTCCCATAGACGACGCCAATTGAAGATGTAAAGAATTTCCTCTCTCTCTTTTGACAGAGTGTCATTACATTTTCAATTAAAAATAAATCCCCCCCTCTTTTACTCTCTTCACTGCACTTTTATAGGTAATTACAAATGCTGCTGGACTATCAGTTTTGGGCCTTTTTTTCAATGGGCTTGGTCTTCTTCGGTGGATCCTCTGAGCTCGGCCCATTTTATGGTGCTCTTGTATGGGCTGTATTTTAATTATTTGCCCCGATGCCACGTTCGCGGACTATAACCGGCCCATATCACTTATTGTATCCTCAGTAATGCTCCAGTAACATTCCAGAGGTGTATGAAGTCTATCTTTTCGGACATGGTTGACAAGCTTCTCGAGGTCTTTATGGATGACTTCTCTGTTTTTGGGTTCATATTCGAAAACTGTCTTCAAAATCTTTCCTTAGTGCTTCAGCATTGTAGGGAAACGAATCTTATTCTTAGTTGGGAGAAGAGCCATTTTATGGTTTAAGAGTGTATTATTTTAGGACATATCATTTTAAAGAGAGATATTAAAGTTGATAGAGCTAAAGTAGATTTGATCTCCAAATTACCTCTTCCTACCTCTATAAGGAGAGTGCGATCATTTCTTGGGCACGCTGGGTTCTATCGACGCTTCATTAAAGATTTTAGCAAAATTTCCCATCGTTTATGTAATCTACTTACAAAGGATGCTCCTTTTGTCTTTGATGAATCATGCCTTGAAGCTTTCCAAAAGCTTCACTCTCTCCTTTCGTCAGCTCCTATCATGAATCCTCCTAATTGGGCTCTTCCATTTGAGATTATGTGTGACGTATCTGATTATGCTATGGGTGCTGTCTTGGGACAATAAGTGAATAAACTTCCTCATGTTATCTTCTATGCTAATAAAACTCTTTCAGATGCACAGTTGAATTACACCACTACTGAAAAATAATTGCTTTCAGTTGTCTTTGCTTTGGATAAATTTAGATCATATCTATTAGGTTCCAAAGTGGTAGTCTATTCTGATTATTCTGCTTTGAAACATCTTCTTTCAAAAAAGGAAACCAAATCCCGTTTGATTCGATGAATCCTCTTGCTTCAAGAGTTTGATTACAAAATCTGGGATAAGAAAGGGTCAGAGAATGTTGTAGCTGACCATCTTTCTAGAATTCTAATTGAGGGTACCTCAACTTCATTTCTAGTTTATGATTCCTTCCCGGATGAACAACTGTTTGAGGTTTCTCATAAAGATTTGCCTTGGTTTGCTGATATTGTGAATTACCTCACAATAGGCAAAATTCTTTTGTCTTAGTCAAAGCAGGAAAAAGTTCGATCCTTTTCCCAAATTAGGATGTACTATTGGGAAGATCCTCAGCTATTCAAATACCGTGCTGATCAAATAATTCGTAAATATGTTCCTGAGAGTGAGTTTCATAGTATTCTGACCTTTTATCACAGTTTGGCATGTGGAGGTCATTTCAGTACAAAGAAAACTACAGCTAAAATTCTTCAGTGCAGTTTCTTTTGGCCTTCACTCTTTCAGGATACATATTTATTCTACAGATCATGCCTTAGATGTCAGCAACTAGGATTAATTTCTAGAAGAAATATGATGCCCTTAACTCCAATCTTAATTATTGAGGTTTTTGATGTTTAGGATATTGATTTCATGGGTCCTTTTGTTCTGTCCAATAAAAATGAGTATATTCTTGTGGCTGTTGACTATGTGTCTAAATGGGTTAAAGCAGTAGCTACTAAAACTGCTAATCACACAGTTGTGGTTGAGTTCATTTAAACAAACATTTTTAGTCGGCTTGGTATGCCACAAGCTATTATTAGTGATGGAGGTGCTCACTTCTGTAATAGGTATTTTCGTACCTTAATACAAAGATACTCTGTCACCCATAAAGTTGCTTCTACCTATCATCCCCAAACAAGTGGCCAAGTAGAAATATCCAATCGTGAAATAAAAGAATTCTTGAGAAAATGGTTAAGCCAGATCGTAAAGATTGGTCTTATAGATTGAATGATGCTTTATGGGCTTACCGTACTACTTATAAGACTCCAATTGGTATGTTACCTTACCTTCTTGTCTACGGTAAAGGGTTTCATCTTCCTGTAGAGTTAGAACATAGAGCTTTCTGGCATAAAAAGCTTAACTTTGATATGACATCTGTTGGTTCGAACAAGAAGCTTCAATTAACTGAGCTTGAAGAATTACGTAGTGATGCTTCTAAGAGTACTAAGGTTTACAAAGCAAAGACTAAGGCATTTAATGACAAACATATCTTGCGTAAGACTTTTGAGCTTAGGAAGAAGGTTTGGTTGTTTAATACATGACTAAAACTTTTTCCTGGAAAGTTAAAGTCACGTTGGGAAGATCCATACATGGTTATTTCTGTTACATTTTATGGTATAATAGAAATACAAGATTGCAAGACTGATAACTGTCCAAGGTCAATGGTGATCGGTTGATCAACTATACATCAACCTTCGCAATAGCACGAATCATTGTAAAATAGGGCTATTGGTCGGGTATGTCGAACCACTGGGACTGCGCTAGTCTATGGCAACCTAAGAGTCTAGAATTGTTCTTAGAATGATAAGGGGTAATAAGGGTTTGTTTGTTTGGTTTGTCACTAAAGCTATGAAATTAAGATGCATCAAATAGTAGATTGCAAGGAATGTAAAGAGGTGAAATGCAAGTAAAGAAGACTAGGGAGATGAATCCACCTCCATCCCTATACACATACTAGGTTAAGATTAATTTAAGGGAAAAACAACATATATGATAGTCATGATACATAACAATACTAGGTTGCTATAATATCCTCAAGAAGTTCATTTAAATAGAAAGGCAAAAATAAACCATCAAAGGTTCACATGATCAACTACCTAAACTAAAATGTAGCTTAGAACATGCTTACTAAGTCAAGGATTATCAAGCCCTAATTTAAATGGTGAATGCACATAAGCTAAGAATCAAGTATAGACCATCAAAGGGAAACCCTAAGCCATGAACTATCTAGGTTCTCCAACTCCATGCCATTAAAATCATTCCATGATCTAACTTCCATTGTCACCATGGAAGTGCAAGCAATATGATTAAGAAAAGTAACCATCCAAGACAAGATGAATAACTCACAATAATCATTTATAAACATTCAACATTCATTACAACAAAAATGAGGCGCTTGATCATGGAAAGACTATCAAAAATACATTATAATCCCCAAAAATAAACTATA